GGAAAAACCACATCTTCTGGCCACATCCAACGCCACGGTCCAAGCTTGCGAGGGCATGCGGGCCACAACTAGACTTCAAGTTGGCCAGGGCTCCATCTGTCAAACTCCATCTGCACCGGATTTGGTAGATGGCACACTTATGGGGGGCACACTTCCAATGATAACTAAACCTGGGCCAGTGAGCCATCGGCCAGCCTTTCGGAGTGGAGACCCGTCCGAGCCGACCAAAGTCCTGTAGCTTGGCATAGTGGGCTCGGAAGGTGGCAGTCCCAGGCTACCGAGGGAGATCTCTACATCCTATGAGGTTGAAACCCGAAAGAAAACAAATACAAGGCCAAACCCTCCTCCTTGGTTTGAGTGGCAAACACATCGCATGACTGGTCCATGTCGCATCATGTCCCGTCGATGCGATTGACCATGGTTCACTCAGTTTTTTGTCGCGCGGGGACATGAGAAATCCCTCGGCGTTGGCTTCGCCGGGTGTCGCCCAGCCCTAAGATTCCAAGCCCATGCTCCCCAAGCTAACCCCAAATGCTCCAGCGAACTCAACAAAAGCATGTCCGCAAACCGCCCCAACTCGTAGGCTTGGGCTTCGGGCGAGGGAGGTGAGAAGTGCCAGAAAAAGAAGAAAGGCAACACAAGGACCCGAATTCAATCTGTTGTTTTGACCCCAGAGTCTCGGGCTCCACACCGGGAAAAGGATTTGCGTAGAGCGCGGCCTGTCCTGAGTTCAGTCTGCTGGGGTCAACAGCTAATGGCGCTTAACTATATGTCAGATATATCTATATATATATACATACATATATACATATAGATGCTCACTTCCACACTCCTCCGGGCCCGCATTTCAGTTCTCAGAGCTAGCTGATCTGCCAGGCTTCTCAATCTGAAGCGGATTGCCATCTCTTTCCATTTTCAAGAAAACGCTTCAGCATGCTGGTTTGTCAAAAGGAATCTCAGAAGAGATGGCCACCGAGCCAGAACTGATCGCTTTTTGAATAATGTTGACCCCGATTGATAAACCCTCGTTTATTAATATGGGGGTGTTCCCCTCCAAAAGTGAAAAATCCCCACTAAAACCAGGGACACCCCCATATTAATAAACAGGGATGTATTAATCCGGGGTCAACAATAGGACACTTAAAAGAGACAGCTTCCAGGCCGGACTTTGAAGAGAGGGCACAACATGTTTTTTCGTGAATATGACATGGCAAAGACAAGGTTCCCGAGCCCAATTTCATGAACATGTCTGAAAACAAAGAGCTCCCAGGTCAGGCTTTGAAGAGCAAGCTTCCAGATTGCTGATCTTGAACAATTATTCGAAACACATATATCCCGCGCCCAACTCAAGCAGCTAGATTATTCTTCAACACGAAACTAAAAGGACAGGTTCCCGAGCCAGAGTTAAAAAGAAAGCTCAACAACCATCAGCTTTCGCCAGGACATCCAAAGCCGAACGGCTCGATTTGGAAAAGAACGCTTCAGAACAGGCATTGCTTAGGACAAGCTCCCAGCTTTGATATTGAAGACACAGCTTCACATTTGCTGTTGAACAGACATCTCAGAATGAATGTATCCCGCAAGAATCGGAACACACAGCTTCAAACTAACTCTCCTAGCAAAGGCCATCATCATGATAAGTATTGACGCGACTTTTTGAAATGAACTCGCGAGCCAAATGTTGGAGAAGCAAAGCCTCAAGTTACAATGAAGATATATGCAGTGTTTCATGACTGGAGACTCAACAAGACATGTTCTGTTCCTATTCAGTCAATGTGGGTCTTCCCGAAGAAATCTTTCTTTCAGTGGTCCAAAGGTCGTTTGCAGCGCCTGACGGTGGTCAAACCATGGTAAATAACGAAAATCGGCTTTGTCCCTCGGGGAGGGGCGCCCCAACTCGTTCGAAACAGGAGCGCACCTCTTCTGGGCAAGCCCATGGTTTCTCAAGAAAGATCCAAACATGTGACGTGTTCCATTTGGCTTCCCTTTAAACCAAGCACAAAGGGACTCCCCAAACAAAGACCCTGCCCAGGGGCTTTGAAGCCAGGATGCTGGCGGCCTCCACTTCCGCCTGCTTCTCCGCGTTGATCATGTCAGTCATGGCCTCTCGGCTCTGATCAGAAGCCGGTCCACAAAAGGGGCTCGACTCGGAAGGAGATCGATCCCCAGAAAACATGATGGGTGTTTTGTTTTTGTTCCTTGGGTTCCTTGGGGCAATCTGCCGAAAAAGATGCTCCGTCCCACTCTGCACTTGGCAGCGGTGCTTGGAAATCTTGACAACTCAAACTGCCATGGCTGTGGAAAACGAGCCCTGGCCCCTTTGTGAGGTACCATCACCACTGCACCATCACTTTCAAAGGGCTTCCCCTGGTATCGGAGAATTTGCCCAAAGACCAAGCATGCAACAAGCGCCAATAGTTAAGTGGGATGTCGCACCTCGATCCTTGATAGGCTACACAGAGGAATTGGAAGCTTTGCTCATCGTTCCAGCGCGTGGGTGGAGTTCGCAACTGGCAGCGGTCTCAGTGCGGTTGGTACCTGAAATGAGTTCCTGTCTCACAAGTTTGGCGCCTTGTGCCCTCCAAAAGGAGCCCATTTCATTAGCCTCAAAAAGACACAGCCGCACATACATATAGATATACCATACACTTCACTTCTGAATAATCACCAAATGAGGTCATAGGCAAATGCGCGCAAGGACCGCTCTGGCATCATACAGCAAGATGCAGGAATGCAAAGCAACAGCTAATTGAAATTAACAAACCACCCGTGGCCCAACGACTCTACCTTACCTGGCTCTGCGAGTCCATGTGCCACCATACTGGGTAGCCGGGCTATCATGCAAAACTGCTGGGTGCAAGCTCTTGCGAGTGGGTGGAGAAGGGCTAAAACGCACTAAGCTTGCAATCAACGCATCTGCAAGAGCTCTCCATTTCCCAGACATTTTCCGGGAGAACAAGGCGCAGCCCTCCGAAGGCTGGTGCTGTAGATGTCCGCCACCCTCCAGAAGACAACGAAAATACTGTGGATGGACGAAATCCTGCTCCACCTAAAGAAACCCTGAAATGATGACTCCAATGTAAATATCAACAAACAATGGCTTCCCATGGGTTCTAAGGTGGTGCAGGATTCCGTCCATCCACAGTATGAACGAGTCCCTGGCAAATCATATTCCTTGGCGACCCTCTTTAAGATGTTTGTGAGTGTCTCAACTGCCCCGATCCTAAATCGCCGCAAATGGTTCCTAATAAACGGCCCCTAGTCGTCACTGATAGTGTGACTACTCAGTTGCCATGGTGACCCTTGCTGTGCCCCAAATCACAAGTACATAGAAATGCATCTTTAGGCTTCGTATTGTCGCTTCACTTCTTTTTTTGTTCACATGCACCCGAAAAAAACAACTTTGCCCGTGGGACAAAGCCAAAGCCGCTAGGCACCGTTGCCAGGTGACTCTCAGTGGCGCGCCGTTTTTCCTGGCCTGCACGTGGCCCTTCACAACGTCCACGCGCTTGGGGCCCCTCAAATCCCCTGGGAGCACTCAGAAAAAGCTGTCCCATTGCTCGTCGAACCCTTGCTGAGTTGAGTCAGAAAAAAGGACCAGGGATGACCAGGGGTTTGTTGCAATGAGGTTCCCAAGCAGTTTTTAGTCAAGCTGAGGAAGTGAGAAGCAAACACCAAGGAAGTTTCAATGTGTTGTTTTAACTGAGCCTGTAGCATATAGGTTGTGGTTCGTAGTCTCATCGAGTTCAACCCAGAGCAAACATCTCACCTGAGCATTGCAAGCGCCAACAACCATGGGGAGCCAGGATTCGAAGCTCTAAATGGAAATTCGGAAATACCAGATCCCACCCTCCCTCCAATCACGGAACCAACAGAGGGGAGTTGAAGACGGCTTTTCCTTTGGGGAAGGTTCCCGTCCGCTGCCATAGTTGCACAGGAAGACGAAGGAACGCATGGCAACTGCATGGAGTCTGGCAATTGCCGCCCAAAAACAACAAACAAACACACAAACCAAAAAGCAAACAAGCAAACAAACAAACAAACAAACAAACAAACAAACAAACAAGCAAACAAACAAACAAGCAAGCAAGCAATCAAACAAACAATGACGCAACAAAAACAAAGAAAAAAAACAACAAACAAGCAAACTCCAGACGCACACATGTCAAGTGAACATTATAATACATATATGTATATATATGCACACACACACACGTACTATATGCACACAACATGCTCTCAACAATACCACAAAGCCAGCCCTGCGCGAACAGACCCGCCTGAAGCCTCCTCATCAAAGGAGAGCAGGTCACTTGGGATCCTGTGCACGGAAGCCGGAGACACTGTTTGCTAAAACGGGTTAATTGGACGCCTGCGCCTGGAAATGGTTTCTGGCCAGGTTTCCCTTGAAGAAACACAAGAGAACCATGCAGGGCCACAGGCGGCACTTCCTCGAAATGGGACCCGGGAAACCCCGCAGAAGCAACCGCTCGCCGAGACGGAGGCCAAGGTTCAGCTGCCAGACTGATGACGGGAAAAATTGGAGAAAGAAAAGGCGCACCGCCAGGGGTCAGACTTTCTAGTGCGTCTTCATGAGTCCTGGGTGGGTCGACCCACCGAAACAGAAAGCCCAAAGCCCAAAGCTTCAGGGCAACCCAAAAACAGGAGATCGCAAGAGGCCGTTTTGCTTGAGAATGGCCACAGGTCCTTTCCGAATTGATCCGAAGTTCACGCAGGCCAAGAAAGCAACCAGGCAACTAAACATCCGACAAATAGAAGGCTCACAGGACAGCGCATAACCCCTACTAATACTCGCTTTTTCAGGGCATATATGGAAGAGCCAGCTTTTACACGGCAACTACCTCCTCTTTTAGTCAGGGGTTGACCCTATCATACCCTGAACAAAGTAGGAATTCGATGTAGAAGGCAGCCGTTCACCCATCCGCGACTCTGAAGAGCTACATGCAGCGTTATGTGTGTGTGTGTGGGCGGGTATGTTATCAAGCCATGGGTTCTGCCCACCAACCCTGCCCGGCCGCCCTGTCCCCTCTCTCTCGCTTTGTCGGAATGTTCATCTCTCTTGGACTGCTCAAGCCAGCCAAGTCTCTGATACTTCATAAACAGCTCCATGAGGTCTTGCGTCAGCTTGATCTCCTGTGCGAAACAGGCTGGGAGCCTTTTTCTCTTAGAATCGGGTGCTGTGGAACCCACTCGGCTAGGATTTCACTGTGCCAGCACATGCACTGCAAAGACGGACAGTTTGAAACGCCCGCGAGCACTACGGTCATTACAGAGCATGGCAAGGGCTTCTTTTGGGCATTTCTGCCACCTGCCCAAAGACATCGTCAATCTTTAATTTGCCAACATACTGTGGATGGAAGACATCCTGCACCACCTAGGAAACCCTGGAATGATGACTCCCCTGGAAACACCAACAAACAGTGGACTCCCTTGGTTTCTCCATCGGTGCATGAGTTCGCCCTCCACCGTATCATAAAACAACCACCCAAGAGCCGCCACCAGTCCTTGGTGAGGCTGTCCTCCGCGAGGTTTAAGAGCTTCTCCAACTGCGGCTTGATTTGTACCACCACCACGCCAAAGAGGGTGCTCTCCAGCCTACGCGAGGTCCCGAGTGACCAGAAACTCCTTCACAAACGAAAGCCGCACCAGTGTCGCCAAACTCCTGGGGTTGGACCAAGTTTGGAGTCACCTTCCCAGGATCCCAACAGCTTCGGAGGGTTTTGCCCGCCCGTCCTCTTGAAGATGCCAAAACAAACCTCCACTCCTTGCAAACCGAGAAGACATCCTTCCAAGTACTCGTCTTTTTTGGGACGGTCCCATGAACATGTGGGTGTGGGTCCAAAAATAGGTACCCCAAATGGAACCCGGGTAAATGGAAGCATGGACTACAACCTGCGGTCCAATTCCTGGTGTAATTTTGACCCATACCCATGTGTTTCCGGAAAATGCCAGTACCTGAAAAAAATCATAAGCGGCGAACCCAAAAAGAAGAACCCCCCCTGGGTCCCGGTTTTTCCCGCTCACGGTCCAAAAAAACGGACCGCTCCGGGCCCCCGGGCTGCATGGAGCGGAAGGACTTGGCGAAGGACTGCATCTCCGGGGACAAGGAGCTGATCGCGTCCTTGAACTCCTCTCGTCAATGGGAAGGAATCGGAAGGTTTTCCAACCATCGGGGCGGGGCCCAATGTTTTCGGCCTCTCCAATGGGAAGGAATCGGAAGGCCAACCATCGGGCTCTCGTCATCGAAAAGGTTGACCAACCATCGGGGCCCGATCGGGGCCCCCGGCGGAGAAAAACGGGGTGATGCCCAAAGGCTGGAAATTTGGCTTAGCTATGCTTAGCTCCATACGGAAGATTGGTTTCTAGATTTATTTTCTATTCAGCAACTGTATGCCAAATACCCTGATTCCCCTTCGCAAGTGATTTCGGGGATGGGCAGTTGCTCCTTTTTCCCAACTGTGACTGATCTTAGGGTAAGGCTGCAGGTTGTTCAATCACCCTCCTTGCGGTTGAGGACCAGGGTGCAGGTGGTTCAGCAATTGTTGCCCCACTGCTGGGTCCATTTCTTGTTCGGGAAAATACCGGTTCTTGTGTGTTTGTGTATTGCGTGTTCTGTGTGTTTGTGTTTGTGTATGTGGTTGTGCTTTTGTGTGTGTGTGTGAGTGTCTGTGTCTGTGTGCATGTTTTGGAGACGCGGTACCCTTCTTTGGAGCGACCATTTTGCCCCGATCTGACACGAATCACACACATGTATATATGTATATGTATGTAACAGTATGTACAACCTATATATTATATTGGGGGGAACGTTGAAGGCCTCATCCTGACTGGCCAAAAGGCAGATGCGAGTTCATGCAATCAGGCTTTGATTCCAGTGGCAACCCGACTGTTCTTCAAGAGCGCGAAGCGCTACCCCATTCAACATGTTGGGGGAGCAAACATCGCTTTCGCCAAGTGAGCTTTGCTTCCCAAACCATCCAAGTTGGGGGTGTTGGCCATATTAAGCCCGAAGCGCTCACAAGCTCAGAGGGCTTCCACTACCAAATCACTTCTCAAGGGGAACAAGGCTATTTGGTCTAAAGTGGCAGGCTATTTGGTCTAAAGTGGGGCCGGATAGTACAGAAACCAACTTCAGCGAGCCAAGCGTAGCACCATATCTCGAGCCCGGGACGAGACCTGGTGGGCACTGCCCGACACTCTGAAAACATGCTTACGGTGGCCCCAAGAAGTCCATGCAAAAGTGAGGGTTTTGAGGCATGGTGGCACACCCGCGGCGGTTTCAATCCCGTGCTGAAATTGGGTTTGTTGGGTGGATGTTGAAATCAAGAAATCCAGCGGTGAGACTCCCAAGACCCAATATGGAACCTGTAGGTCCCACCAAGTCCCTGGGACTTTTAAGAGATGTGAGGTTGCAGCCTCAAAAAGCTTTTCAATTGTACCTATACATGTGGAGGTTGTTAGACAGTGTCCGAACATCTCTGAGGGACGTGGACACAAATGCCATGGTTCTTAAGCGTCCAACCAAGTATTCTTGCTACGTAATTTTAAAGCTGATCTCCTAACAGAACCCTTTTCCACTGCATCTACCCCTGGTCTTCTACCTCTGATTGTCAAAAAGTACCACGGGCCATGGTTATGTGGCTTGTTCAGAGGTTCCTTGGTGAAGGCGTCTGCATCAGTTCCTGGTCTGGGGTTGGGTTGTGGCTATCCATCCCGGTCTTCTCTCAGCAATTTGCCTTGAGCCCATGTTGCAATTGGGCATGGCTTGGCACGATTTGACCTTGTGTCTGCTGCGCATGTGTGAACCATCAAGTAACACAGCAGAATCAAGGACAGTACAGAATTACATGTAGTCAACTCTACTGGTATTTTGTGATCCGCAGACAATAACGTATATACATATTTCTGTGTGAGAGAGAAAGAGGCAATTACACCAAATGCCCTCCGCAAACCCGTCCATTTCCCTACAAATGGGTGTAGCATGGTGTAGCCAATAACTCGCACCCAGCAGCAACAAAACAACGCGAATATCTCAGACTGCCTTGGGTGTCGGAATCATCGAGAGTTCCAGTGGAATAGTCAGCTCATCCTTATTCTGCACGATGGCCTCGGCAAACATCGCAAAATGACAACGCTTTCCTTGGCGGGCGCGCAATCGCGCCACATCCGAGCAGCCGTGTACGCGTGCATTCGCAAATGGGTCATTGCGCGCCAGCATAATTGCGCAAGCGTGCGTATGCGTGTGTGTGTGTGTTGTTTGTGTGTGTGTGTGTGTGCGTTGTGTGTGTGTGTTGTTTGTGTGTGCGTTGTGTGCGTTGTGTGTGTGTGTTGTGCGTGCGTTGTGTGTGCGTTGTGTATTGTGTTGTGTGTGTTGTGTGTGCGTGTTGTGGGTGTGTTGTGTGTGTGTGTGTGCGAATGCGTGTGCTTGTGTTGTGTGTGTGTGATGGTGTGCGTGTGTGGGTGCGTGTGTGTGTGTGTGTGGGTGGTTGCGGGAGCGTGGTTGCGTGTGTTTGTGTGTCTGTGTCTCTGTCTGTCTGTGTGTATGTGTGTCTGCGCGTGTGCGCGTGTGCTTGTATGCGAGTGTGCAGTACATACGTGTGTGTGCGCCTGTGTGTCTGTGTGTGTATATGTGCGTGTGTTCGTATATGCGTGCGTGCGCGCGTGCGTGCGCGCGTGCGCGCGTGCGTGCGTGCGTGCGTGGGTGGGTGGGTGGGTGTGTGTGTGTGTGTGCGCGTGTGTGTAAGTGTGTCTGTGCGTGTGCGTGCTTTATGTGGCAAACATGCGGTGTGTGTGTGTGTGCATGTGTTTGTGATTGTCAGTGTGTAATATATATATATATACATACATATACATATACGAAGACTGCTCATGGCAGCCACACACTCGCTCAGGCCGGGGCATCGCTCAGTGTTTTCCAACCCCCAGGCGACACACATACATGCTTGGATCATTTTGGGCCGGGCCCTATCGTTTTACTGGATTTTGGCGCACTCTTTCCAAGGGACTCTCGACTTTCATACAAACCTCTGCTTCGGGAAAACATGCGTCTTAATAATACACGTAATTTGATGATGTTGGCACATAATTTGTGTCCAACACCATGGCAAGTCACTGCGTAGGAGGGGTCAAAGGTTGTCGCAGAGGTGATGCGCCCAGCGAGGACCAGGAAGGAACCTGACGGCTGCAATCCAACCCAAGCTCTGGATGGCGACCCTCTGCACAAGAAGCTTAATTGTTTGCTGGTTCAGCTGGCTAGTGTGACAAGAACATTTTCCCAAAACAAAACAACCCAATGGCATTCAACAAATCTGCTCCATGATCGTAGCCCCCTCCTCGGAAATCTTAATCAAGTTTTGTCATGGGGCTTGCTGGAAACCAGGCTCTCCGATATTGTCTCGCCCTGAAATCTCACCAGGGAATTCGACCGTCCTCGTCAATGTTACATGTTGTAGCTTCACACGGCAATCAACCCCGAGCAACATCAAATGGCCTGGGAAGCCCCGACTCCAAGAGCCCAAGGGAGCATATCCAGGGCTCCCTTTTCTGGCGCTTGATATGCAAACATCCCTTGGGCCACTGGTTGACTTTCCTTCGATGAATTGGGCACAAACTGATAGGTGCCACTCAAAGCCGCGTTGGTAATATTGTCCGCTGTTCACATACACATCACCTTGATTCCTGGACGCTAAATAAGAGGGACTGGGATTTTGTGCTAAAACAAACGTATCCATTCCATGTTGACTACCGTTCAGGAAAGTTGTTTAAAGAATCACAATAAATGGGTATGTGTCAACAAATAACGGGATCCAAAGATGTTGGCCTTCCTTTTGGTGTCCTTCCAACCCTGAAAAGAGCAGCCCGAAACTTTCCTGCGATGTGTTTCTCATGGACATCGGTCCCCTCCTCAGATGCCCAGTGGCTATGGGAAACAAGGGCATCTTTCTGTTGGTTAAGTTTAAAGGGGAACCCTTCCCAACCAAAAAGGAAAAAAGGTCGCCAATGGGCAAGTGGGTTGCCATGGTGAGCTCGTTTTACCCCCAAGTGAAAACCATTGGCGCCGGGCAAGTGAGTCGTAATCAAAACCTGATATCAAAATGGTCTACCCAGAACCATGTAAAGAATTAAGAAGGCGGATATCCGCAGCTATTTATGGTTGGGATTGTTCCTTACGAACCTTCATCTACCCGAATCGGTTTTGGGCCTGTGGCACAAGTGGGCCTGTGGCCTATGGCGTTTTTGGTCGACGCAGCAAGTGCGTTACCTCTGACGGGCAGCTGAACTGCCGAGCCCGGGAGGCCAGGAACACCTCTGCGCCCGATTGGCCTAGCGAGCAGACATGGAAACCGTGCTCTTTTTTTGGAGGGGGCCTTGACTTTTTGGCGCTGATGTTTTGTTTTTTGTTTTTTTGCGGGCCGGCTTGTCTTGCTTTGCTTGTTGATTGTTGAATGGCGGATGGTATTTAAACAACAGACTAGCAAACATTCTTGGTCCGACATGACTCGTGTCAAACTGGTCGCACGTGAAACTGTTGGAAGGTGGTCTTTGAATGACATCCACTAAAAAGTCACCAATACAAGGCTCAGATGCCCAGTAGCCATGGGAAAAAGGGTATCCGTTCTTGGTTGAGTTTAAAGGGGAACCCTTCCCAAAACTTGAGGAGCAGGTGAACGAAAGCTAGCAGTTGTTGCATGAGATGGGTTGGTGACAGAGTGGATTCATGGGTAGCTTGTGTACAACGAGAGGCCCGGCAAGATTCGACACGCAAACGCACATGGTGGCGTGGCAAACCTTGAAAAATGAAAACAACGAGAGGCGTCAGAAGCTGTCTTAAAGCACCTCTGGGTTCTGCATGCAGCGTGTGCAAAGATTCTTGCGAGGTGGTTTACCGAGAAGACTGAGGTCTCAAATGAACAAGCTGAATCGGTGGAACATGTAAAAGTTCGTAGCACCAAGTCCAAAACGGGCAAACCGAGACTGCTGAACACTGAGCCACTGCCCGGGGGGGGATGGACCAGGGAGGAATCGAGCCTGAGACCGGGGGGGGGGGGGAGGGGGGGGGGTCTAAATAATTGATGTTTTTCAATCTTTTCGGCTCAAATAATTGAAAAAATCAATCTTTCGGCATTTGAGCCCCTTACCTTGCTTATGCAAGGAGAAACTTCAGCTAGCTAAAGCTAGCTTTCGTGAAAAAGGAAACAAGGGCGCCACTGGGCAAGTGGGAAGGGGTGTTGTCTCTCGAGTGGGTGACTATAGAGCTGGACCTTGCCGCAGATTGAGCGATGCTTCTCGGTCTACTCGGTTGCTTTCTGCTCCCCTGCTAAAAGTTTAACTTTTGGTGGGTTTAATGGAAAACCCATTAGTTGGCAAAAAGTTAAAAGTCCTAACATGCAAGCAACATGCACCAAAGTCTAGACCTTGGAATTTGAGATCTTGAAGCGACTCGGGGCATAAGTGCGCAACAACCAGGACAGCAACTTACGCAGTCCGACGAAAGAGTCTGGCAAAGTGCAATTGCCGAAACGAACCAGCGCAACCATGGCGCTACTTTTTTTCCGCAAGATCACTTGCATTTCGCTTTCACCATGAAATGCGGTTCGACGGGAAAAATAAAACAACCTAATCAAGTGAGGTCAACCAAATAATAGATGCAAACATCAACCACCATGGCTGGCTGAATGCATAGTCTTCAATCAAACCAACAGAACACTTACCATTTTGGCAGCATCCCTAGTTTTGACAAGTCATGTCAAAGTCGCAAAGCCCTTCGCCAAGTCTCCTGAGAAGCGGTGCGAGAGCCACCCATGTAGATGAACATTCCCGTCAAACGCAACTTTTGTCGATGCGTTCAACCTCGGAAAGCTCAAGCGGCGAAATTCCCCACAACAGCCCAATGGCCCAATGACCCTGGCTGAACAAGAACAGAAACCATGTCTGGGGTCGAGATTCCCTGCTCAGCGGGAACCCACCACTAAACCAAACATCAGGTTAAAGGATGAAATCCGGGGAAGTGGCATCCTCAAACTCAAAATGGTGGTCTAAGGGACAACAACCCCCAAAACGAATGTTGCGAAACCTTCGAACTGGTCACGGACAGAGTCCACTGAGCAAACAGGCGTGCTGAAACCTCAAAGCACGCAAGCTCTGGACAGTCCCCGGTCCCGGCGGGGTTTGGGCGGACCAAGGGTTGGGTAGAGTAGCACTGATTTCCCATTACTGTTGCCCATCATTATTTTCAACAATGGAATTTGCCAGGATGTTGATAACCGTTTGAGGCTCTGTTCGCGAGGGCCTGAATGAAAAAAATGAAATGAAGCTAGAAAACCGGAGGACCAAGCCGAAACAGGTGATACGCAACATGAAAAATAGCTTCGTTTGGCTCAAAAAGGCGCATGCTGTGGAGTGAAGGCTCGCTACGATATCCGCAAAGCAAAGCGCCAGTCGTCTTATCAACAAGCCTCACCTGAACATTGCCTTGTAAATGGTGGCTTCGCCTTCTTTTGCTGGAAAAGGCCATGTTTCAACTGGCTGCAAAATGTATCTTTTAAGGAGCCCTGTCAACCCAAGCGACTTAACCCCACCCTCTCGGCTTGGTTGTCCCAAACTGAGCCTTCTTTGATCGGGCCCTGTTTGGTGTGGAGCAGTGGGGATTCTCCCAATTTGGGCTCACCTGTCACTCGCTTGCGCAGATGGTCGCATCCAAAGGGCGGAAACGACATAGACACCGGAGTGCTGCTGCAGTTTGCAAAGGTGACAATCCTGAGTTGCCAAAGCCGGGATGCACTCTGCCACGCGCTGCGCTCTGATTTAAGTGCTGTTAGAAGCCCCCCAAGGATGGCTATACACGACCCCAAAGGATTGGTCCCAAAAAGGGACCCCACATTCCACCAGTTGAGGTCCTTGATTGGGCTGTACGCTTTAGAATTGATTGTCCAAAGCTTTGATCACCTCCCAAAAGCATCGGCAAGGACCTTTCATGGCCAATCCAGTTTGGCCGCTGCCGGGATACGAGCTTTCTTCGCTGATTCCGGTTGCTTTGTTCGATCCATATGTTGACCGACGAATGTGCCAGGAAGGACACCAACACACACTGCGCAAAATGGATGTTTAGTACATCCTGGAAGGGGTATGGGCAACACAAGAAATACGGTACGTGTTGCATTGCAAAACTCCACCATGATAAGGTAATAATAAGCTCATCTCCGATTTTAAGGCTGAGACCGAACAAACAGGGAACAAAGGTGCAACTGTAGAAACACCGTGTCGCGCGTGTGAGATATGCTAGCGGCACCATCAAGGTCAATCCTGAAGAGTGCCGGCGGGTGTCTGGTCAACCCTCCGGCAAACTGACCTTTGGGGCCTAGCGAGCTGGACCAGTTGAACCGAACAGGTGAGCGAGCAAAGGCAAATGCCTGTCATGGAATGGCTCACATGTGCGGATCATCAGGGTAATTAAGCCGATCTGTCATGAATCGCAAAGCATATGGTTTTGGGAACCCCTTGGTTGAGCAGTGTGAACCCAGGATTGACAAACCCCTGTGGTGATTCATCACCCTATTACATATGGAAGTCATTTGCTAAATTTCATCTCTCGTATCTTCGCTCGGCTACTCCTCCCACGACTCTGATCGATGCGGGGTTCCCATTAGGTGGTCATCGTTTGATGCAGACTACTGTTCAACTTCTGATCAAAGTAAAGTTAGAAGGGAAATGGTGGATGAGAATTCAAGGGAAGCCAAAAGGACCCCACCCACACACATTTCAAGGGGTCCTCAAAAAATTGAGAAGCGCCCAACTCAGGTTGAATCTTGATCACTTGTCCCTAACCGTGGACCCCTGGACTCGGAAAACCTGGGTAAATTGCAAATAGACTTCTCACACAGTCAATACTCGTGCCTAAAAAAAACCCTCGAACATTCTATGACAAAGTGCGAAGTCAGGGGTCCTGCCAGCAAACTGGTAGCTAAACCATCAAGAGAAGTTGCTCTGTTCCACAAAGAAGCTCTTTTTTTGGGTGTGTTTCATAGGGAGAGCAACAAAGCCCCCCTCATTTTGTGGACACGACAGGCCCAAGCAGCGCTAGTCAATCCGTACATCGAAACCCACTGTATCGGGTGCAAACACAAAGACAACCACACATACACACACACACACACAAACACATGCACAAACGCAAGCCCGCCCCCATACGCGCACCAATACGGGCCCGCTCCCGCACCCAAAGCCTCACCCACACTTGCAACCGCAGCGACACATGAACACAGACACACGGACACACACACACACAGACACACAGAGAGACACAGACACACAGACACAGAGACACAGGGACACAGGGACACAGAGACACAGAGACACAGAGACACAGACACGCAGACACAGAGCATCTGGATCTGGGATAAAGTGAATTCTTCTTTCTCTAACTCCATTCTTCTTAGGAATTACTTGGTTGGTAGATATTGGGATAGGTCCTACAGTGAAGATTCAGATGTTGAGGAAGTAAAATAGCTTTTCCATAATCAATTTGTGTTAGGAATCATCTCCTCTTTTATTGTTAGGATTTACATGGAGATAAGAAACACTAAGAATAAACGCATTTTATTATATTGCATCATCTTAATTCTTCTTTTGGGTAGAGACACAGACACAAAGAGAGACACAAAGAGAGACACAGAGAGAGACACAAAGAGAGACACAGAGAGAGACACACAAAAAGTCACAGAGAGAGAGACACAGAGAGAGACCGAGAGACACAGAGAGACACGCAGAGAGACACAGAGACAGGCACAGAGAGACACAGACACACACACAGAGACGCACAGAGAGACACAGAGAGACGCAAACAAACACAGAGAGACACAAAGAGACACACAGAGAGACACAGAGACACACGGAGACGCACAAACACACAGAGACCACAAACACACAGAGACACAAAACAGAGACACAAAAGCACAGAGACACACACACACACAGAGACAC